TCCTTGATTCTTTCATCGTGTGGGCAAGGTGTGGAGAAGTAGCAGCTGTATCTACTGACATTCTCAATTTTTATTTTAGATCTTGTATCCAAGCCATGCAAGGATCCTAGAAATCTGGGGAGAAGAATTCTGTTTACTTGCATTTGCAGCAGTCATTTAAAATGCTGGCTTTGATTCACTCTGCTGTATTTGTACATCTGCACGCTGTTCATCAGTGAAGAGTATCATTCTTTCCTACTTTCCTTCATTGTTTTCTTGATTGGTATTTTATTTAAAGCTTCCAAACCAAAGTAATTCTTTGGGTAGAGATGCCTTTGCAGGACACACGGCTGCATTATTTACTTGCTTTTTAAAACTTTTTAAAAAGACCCCAACTTTGTGGTAGGCACAGTGTTCTACTTCTGTCTATTGTTGAATTATTCTTGAACAATAGGTTTTGTGTTTGAGGTTGCAGAGGAGGAGGAGGAGTGTGTCATAGCAGTGTGTGTAACAGGGAGGAGATGTAGTAAAAGCAGAGTCTGATTGCACAGGCACAAGCACATGCAAGTGAGCGGTGGTGCTTTGCAGGGCATGAGGACTGATCACTGAAAAGGTGAGGTCAGGCTGGGAGAGGACAGATTGTGGAGTTTCTCCAACTCATTACGGGCTAGAGTTTCAAAGGTCACACAGATACCCAAAGATAAATACTTACGGGATTTTCAGAAGTACTTACTAAGGCTTCTCTTCTTTTGAAGAAAGTAACAATAAAGTTGATGTGATTAATACAATCATCAAGAAGATGGTCTTGATGAACCTGGGAACAATGCCCAGATTCTGGCTAAGCCTAGTTGGTTTGCCACCCCGTAATGTTAACCAGTAATGTGTGACCGTGTACAAAATATTAAGCCATGCTGTAAGATCATCTTTCAGCTCTACCATTGTATTTGCCAACTATATTAATCATATCTAACAGAGGATACAGTTCTGTTCCTGTGTCAGAAGATTTTCTGTTGTTGGCATCCCTAGCCATTCTGCTGCCCCACATTTAGACAGAATACGTGGAACACAAAAGCTAATTTTGTCATGTAAGAAAATGTTGGTTTTGCTTACTGTTTATAGGAGAAGCATTAAAGCAGTGTATGGATATGAAAAGATGTGAGGGGTTTTTTCGCAGTCAGCTTTGATGTGAAAGACTCCTTTTCAGCAGTCTAATTTTAATTTCCGTTTGGGAAAAGAGAGGGAGAAAGGGTCATAGTATGCAGGCTGCAACTTCCTTTTTTTTTTTCTCTTTTTGTTCTTTCTTCTTTTTTCTTTTTTGTTTTTCTTCGGTTTTTCTTTTTTCTTTTTTTTCTTTTTCTCTTTTTTTCATTCTTTTTCCTTTTGTTTTTGGTTTAGAACATGGCAGGTGAGAGTCTCCATGCCTGCTTATAAATGCACAAAAATATGAATAATAATCCCATGTTAATGATGGCTAGTTGTGGCCTGAGATCTTAACCTTGCTTCTTTCTACATTGTGGTGTTATATAGACAGTATGGCCAGTTTCAGATGGAATATTATGAAATACATAACTTTCCACCTATTCCCAGAGAAATTAAAAGCTGTGCAGTTTCTTCATGTTTTTGTCTATTTGTGGCAGAAGAGTAAAGCCAGAAAGCAAAATGCATTACCTGCTTTCTGAGGGAAGTAAGTTATCTAAGAATTAGTCTTGAGAAACATTTCTTCATAGGAGAAACTTGGAAAGATCCATGCTTTGTTCTTTGTTTTACTCTTGCAGTTTCCCTTGTGACATTGTAACTGACTCACTGTGGGCTGGATTACAGAAGGTTGCTTAGATACCTAAAAATGTACCTAGAAATGAGGTATCTGTCTTACGCTGTGAAATTAACTTCATAAGGGAAGAACTCTAAGATGTGAAATCAATCTTATATTCCCATTTTTTCATCTGTTAGCTTTTTGTCAAATTTGACTTGAAATCTAAACATTTGTATTTATTTATTTTACTTCCTACAAGAAGGACTGTATGAAATTAGAGATTATGTCAATATCTATAGTTTCTGAGGACAAGGATGACTTTGGCTGGAAGGAAGGCGTGTTTTCTATGTCTGTTCAGGTGCTGTTCAGTCTTTCTTGGAAACAAGAAAAATACCACTTGAAAGTTATCGTTGCTGGAGAAGACCACATAGCCTGTGCCTTTCATGCCCAGGAATCTGGACGTGGAGCTTTAGCTCCAGCTAGGTGTACCCTCTTTCAGTGTACCTCCCTTTTGCTGTTCATGGATCCGCATGTTACCAATAAAGACGATAAAGGGAGAAAAGAGCACCGCCATGGTCCAAATTCCCTACCTTGAGGAAGCAAGAGCCACAACCAGCCCACACCACTTTATTTTTAGCAGCCGGCTGCTTTTCTTCCAGTGTATTGAGATGTAGACTCTGCGGCTTTGCTCTTGGTCAATGTGCCGCTGGGCTCTGCAAGGGCTTTGAAAATTGCAGGCTGTGAGATCTGGCTCTGACCCAAAAAGGCTTTCCCCAGCAAAACATTCTTGTTCTCAGGGTTTCTGCCTGGCTCTTGTAAACTCCTGTCTGACCCATCTGTCATTGTATGCTCTGTGTGTGGCTGTTTCGATCTTGCCTTGCCATCTTGTATGTAAATTACCTCCATTGATGAAGCTCCCTACTGGTCATAAAAAATCAGCCTGTTCTATATGGTGGCAGCTGCTCTAATGCAGCAAATTATTTCAAGAGCCATTGAAAATACAGAATTTAGATCAAGTATACTCTAAATGATTCAGTGTCTCATTTGTGATTACTGAAGTAGAGACCTATGTAGTTATGCTTACGTTTCACTTTAAAAGAGTTGTAAATGCAAACTCATCCTTATTTTCTGTGATAGTATCCTGGAAATCATTTCGATTCCCCATCAAATCTTAAAAAACCCACAGCAAATGTGTATTCTTTGCCAAAATAAGTCTCAACTAACCACTGGTTCTATCCCAGTATGAAATATCTTCCTAAACATACCTTGCCTCTTCTTCTTTCTGTATTTCTCACCACCTTATGTTCAGGGCAGAGTCAGTTTTGGTTACTTACTATTCAGTCTTTCTTTTCCTCTGAACCTTCTAGGAAACTGGAACAAGAAAAAAAAAAAACAGCTTCCACTTCTTCACAAGACAAATCTTTGGCAGTCTTGGCTGTATACCCCCAGCAAAGGGATATTTGTGCTGAGAAAAAATTTATGAAGTTTAATAATGTTCCCGTGTTGTAAATGAAATCTATTCTGGCATCTGAGTTTCCCACTTGCACCCTAACTTTTGTAGAATTTCCGCTTTTGGGTGTCCCACTGCTGCTCCATGTCACAGGTTAAGGTAAAGGTTATTGACATCTCAGCTGAAGTCCACAGTTCCTTGTTTGCCTTTAGAGAAACAGTAAGTTTGAGAAAAGTTTCTCTGCAGTCAAATCCTTCACTTCAGGAATAGAAATCTTTAATAAATATAGTGAAATATTTTGGGGGTAACTATACTCCTTGGAATGAATAGCCATTAGAAAACATAAATACATGCCAATATGATATCTGAAATACTGCTAAAAGCATGTTATTCAGATGTGTTCCAACCCCAGCAGCCCCAGTCCTCATGTATAACACTTCTCTCTGGAATCTGGTGTGTGCAGATTATAACCTAGTGATTATACTCCAGTGTACTTTCTGTGACCTTCTCTGGGCAATAAAGTAAAATTCTTGCCCTGGGCACTTGCATAGCTGTAACCATCCAGCCATGTTTACCCTCTGAAAGACTTAAACCACATTTGCACTGAAAACCTCGAACAGAGGTACTGGAGGTGTGCAAGTGATGAAGACAACCATGCAACTGAGGGTTGCTGAGCCTGTAAAGCTTTTGCTGCTCAAACTACATTGCAGGATAAAGAAAATGCATGCATTTGATATATGTACCACTGAATATATACATACAGACTTGCTTCTTTTGATTCCTAGAAAGAATAATTTGTGAGTTTAAGTATTGTTTGGGAGTCTAGTGTTCTGATTCTAGATAAGGTAACCTTGAACTAATTCAAGAATAAAAGGGAGAGCCTTTGGCAGCCTTGCTCCTGAGACGCACCCAAGATGTGTGTGCCTACCTTGGGTGTGCAAAGGTGATTGCCCCATTCTGGAGCCACCTGGCAGTACCTTGTACCCACTAGAGCTCAAAGCAAGCTGAAACTGATCTTAAGTTACCCAAATTTATAACCCGTGCTCTCCTACCCACAGTGCAGTTCACTGACGAATGCTGTGGCCATTTGGTTTGTGTGGGTGCCCGTTAATTTCCTTTTAACCCCCAAAGTCAGCGGCTGAGGGTTCACAGTTCACAAATTTCCATGCAGTTCTGATCAGAGGCTCTGCAACATCTTGTTTTGAAACTCTTGAACTAATGTGTTGATATTTAATTCAGTTTTCCTTGCTGTTCCTGAGAATATCACATCATTTTAGCAGCTGAGATAGATGTTACATGCACAGGAGTTTATTGACTTGTTTTTCCTTGTTATTGACTTGTTTTTCCTTGATCCCTGCTTCTCATTGTGGGTTTATATTATTTTAATGGAAGTGTCATTTTTTTAATGTTTATTTTAGCGTTTGTTCAAGTTCATTCAATCATATGCTACTAATATAAGAGACTGTGTAACATTTATTTTTAACGTTGTTCTATCAGCAGAGGGAGAAGCGAAGCAGGAAAAAACACTTATTTTGTTGTTCTGAACATTTCCTTAAGTAGCATTTGTTCTGCTTGCTTCTGCAAAAGCAGCTTATATTACCTGCGTATTTGTCACTGTTTTGTTTATTTGTAAGGAATTCTTTGTAATATAGTAACTGGTAATTCTTTGTAATATAGTTCACATATGTACTGTCAAATAACTTCAAAATGGCTTAAGACGGTTGTTTTACAAACATAGTTATATAAAATTGAACATTAAAATGCAGGGTGAATTTCTGGAATTGTTTTAACTAAATCTATGTTTTTATTTCCCTAAAGTTTCAGACCCAGAGCTTACGTCTCTCAGACCTGCACAGAAAATCTCAGCTATGGAGAGGAATAGTTAGTGTTACCTTAATAGAAGGTCGTGAACTTAAGGCAATGGATTCAAATGGATTAAGTGATCCTTACGTGAAGTTCCGGTTGGGGCATCAGAAGTACAAGAGCAAGGTAATTTTAATTGTCACCTAAAATGCACATTGGCTGTGTTTGAAATGTTTCATTCCTGTTTGTGTTTTTTTTTTTGGCTTGCATGACTATTTAAATAGTGATGGAGGTTTATTGTTGTATTAATTTGCTGTCAGAGCACCTGGAGCTTTGTTTAGATGTTTCTTTTTATTTCATTGTAAACAAAAATACTACTAGATGAGGAAAAACGTAGCAGTGAAAAATGCAGAGCAGCAGGGAGGCACACCTGATTTTCCATACAGATTGTGTTGGCTTTTATTTCCTCTGACGGGTCATTCATGTCAGGGAAGAGATGTGGAGTGATTCTGACAAGTAGATACCACCTTTGTGCCTTTCTGGCTTGATGCCGGTAGCCTCTTGGATCCTTGGCATGGTCTTATCCCTCAAACTGTGTCATACTTATATTCTCACTTTCCTCATTGTGTCTTTACAGCAAGTTTCATTAAAAGTTTTGTGTATGTATGAGCTTAACAGGTAGAGAGGATTGATCAGGGAACAGATGATTGTGGAGACTTGCTTGGCTTTCTTGCTGTTATTTTTTATTTCCCTGATCCCTATTGGTTTGAAAATTGCTGTTTATGGAAGATGCTGGGACCACCAGTGACACGCATGGTGTTCCTCTCTCAATGGCTGTGACAGCCCATGTGTTTTTCCCAGCCAGACGAAGGGCAAAGTGAGAAAGAGGCCAGGAGCCACGTTTGCAGACCTCTGAGCCCGCCTTAGAGCCTCTTAATCTGAAACCAGAAGAAATCACATTTCATGCTTTTGTGACTTAAACTTCATAGCTTTTCTGCAGTTTAATCCTCTCTGATTTTTCCATTTTTTCGAGCCAGTGGAACTAGTGGATGTAGAAAGTAGCAATTGCTTCATAGAGAAGATTCTAGGCAGTTTCCATTCTTTCTCTGGGCAGCTGTGACTACTGTGACTACTGCTTTTGCATTGTGGCAGAAAACTGTTCAAGCTTTCTGTTCTGCAGATTGTGGTCAGAAATACATCGACTGAAGTCCATTGAAGTTAGTTCCTTTGTCAGAAGTAACTGGACTGAAAATGATTGAGAAAGCTACTTTCCTCTGAGTTGCAAAGGAAAGGAAGTAAATACAATTTTGAAAAAAAAAAAAAAGGAGTATTATTCCATAAAAAGTAAACCGTAGTATCGTCTTTCTCCTGGTATTACTGCAGCTGGGGGAAGAGAGCATGATAAAATTGTTTCTATTGAAATACTTACAGTCACCATCTAATTGTCATTGCAGGTGCTTTGTTTTCCTTTAGGCTCAGACATGTAACTTTGCAGCTAACTGCCACTCAAGAGAGGCATAATTATTCTACAGAAAAATGGACCCATTCCCAGGGTAAATCCTTTGTTCGGGAGGCTTTTGAAGGTGACAGGTTGCGGGATTTTGGAGGTTGCCATTATGTCAGAGGGGCATGAGAGAACTGGCCAGTAGTCTAATTACTAGTTTTTAATTTGCACTGCTTATGATACTCATACTGCGAATAGAAAAAACTTCCTGAACAGACTTTGAAGATCAAATTTACAATTCAAGAAAGTATATGCCTGCACAATGCAATATGACTTTCTTTTTGCTCTGCTTTCAGATTGTGCCAAAAACTTTGAATCCTCAGTGGAGGGAGCAGTTTGACTTTCATCTCTATGAAGAACGAGGTGGAATTATTGATATTACCGTGTGGGACAAAGATGCTGGCAAAAAAGATGATTTTATTGGCAGGTTTGTGCAATTACAGCCTTCTTGTTCCCTAGGGATGAGAGCAGATGATTAAAATGAGTCTTGCTGTTGGAACTATTTCTTATGACCATTTGTTCTTGCTTTTTTTCTTTTTAAAGGTGGGGGAGGATATTTTACAAAGTATCGGTACAGTTAGCTGCATCGATGCAATTTGTTACTTTGATAGTGTAAAACAATTTTTATTGACCAGTAGGTGGCAGCTTTTACCAATCGATAGACAGGTTTTCCAAAATAAAAATCCCACGTTTAGAGCAATAATCACGATGCAGGAGGTTCCATACGGCAACATCTGGCTTGGAGGAGAAATAACTCTTGTGACTTGTAATAGGCATATCAGACCAAAATTATGTACTTACTTTTTAATCTGTTTGGTAAATGAAATGGGAGTCTGAAGGACTACACACAGCTTTTGGGACAAAGTTCATTCACCTAACTGGTTTTCAGGAAAAGTGAATCTTTGGGATCTGTCTTAGAGTTCAAGAAATGGTATCAATTTATGTGGTTATGCTCCATTTTACTGTGCAGGAAGAAGAAAGATACTAATGTTTTTTAACAATAGCATTAACTGTTAGCTAATAGGGGAAAAAGCTGTCTTGCGCTTATAGATACTGTACAAAGTCAGTGCTATTTTGAAAGCTCAGGTATTTGTTTACATCATACTTTAATTGATATACATACATTCGTAATGATACTAATTATTATTACTCCTACATATTTTGATTGATTCTTAGAATATTGGTTGTAGATGCTTTCACTAGGACATTGATACTATTAACTAGTAGAGTTACTTTTTTTGGTAGTTAAAATCAGGAATGGAAATCCCACAGTCTGAGCCTTGACCAGCTGGGTTAGCTCAGTTGGTTAGAACCTGGTGCTAATAACGCCAAGGTCACAGGTTCAGTCCCTGCTCACTGCAGGGGGGTTGGGCTCGATGATCTCTCAAGGTCCCTTCCAACCCAAAGCATTCTATAATTCTATGTACTTGTGATGTCAGTGTGATTATATTTTTACTAACCTTTTCCTCCCTGTTTTTCCATTTAGGGTAGTGGCTTTCTTTATCAAATTAGATCAGTCGGATAATATTCTGTGTTTATTTCTTACCATAAATTGTGGGAACTCAGAATATACAGAGAGTCTGTAGCAAGTGAACAGGTTTAATATCAGACAAAACCACTTTTCAAAAGTGTACACAGTAGGATTTTATTTTATATGATGAAACCCTATGGATGGGTTGATAAGTTTATATTTGAAGTTTACACTGTGTTTTTCCCCTTGCTTGATTTCAGTTGGCACATATTGTAACAATAACTATTTTTCTGAAGTAACATAATCATTTAGTCCTATGACAACATGTGATATGCCTTGGGAAATTATTCCTATTTTCTGCTTAATTTTAACCTTCTTATCCAAAAGATGGTGAGATTCAGAGTTTTCATATGTGATTTTTCAGAACACTGTCATCAAAGCAGCACTTTGTTGTTACTATTACCAGTAATTATAAAGTCTTTTAAAGACCATTGCATAAAATAAAATACACCTAAATAAGAATGTGATAGAGAAATTGGAGAAGGAAAATTTGTAACTTCAAACACATGAGCTGCTTAGGTAACTTTTCAGATACCTAGAAAAGCTGTACTTCTTAAGTATGCATCTATTTCTTCTTGGTAACTGCATGCTATTACGCAAGTAACAAATGATTTCTACATTTTATTTAGGCCCCAAAAATTTGATAGCATGAGAAATCTTCTCTCTAAGAAGAATGCTTAAAGCCTTCAGCATTTTTCTGTGAAAGAACCTTGTTTTGTTTTGTTTCCTGTCATTTTCTCAAACAGATGTAATTCTTGTATATATGAAAAAAGATGCTGCTTGGACAAAGCTAATCTGTAGTGCTTCTGCAGTATACAACTGATTTTTATAAAATCAGTGCTATTTTTACCGAAATCTTGCTGCTCTTGATTTTTGTGACCTGTCTGCTGTTGTGTATGTATAATACCTCTTCAGTTTGTCCTTTCAGACACTCATTTCACCTTCTGTTGGTACCTTATCTCTGGGTAATGCAACCTGCAAACAACTTCCTCTCCACAAAGATTTCCGTGAAAAACTTTGTCATTTGTCAAGCTCAATCTGAATACAAAAATAGGTCTTAATATTCCCCCTCCCTGGTACTCTTTTCCAGTCACTGTGGATAAAAATCAGCGACACCTGACAGCTCCACTTTACATTTGCCTCTCTTTCCCAGTTCCTCCTTTCGAGGCTGCCTCTAAAAGCTGTAAACACTTTGATACAGACACTACAGACTTGCTCTGTGTGTGTGTGTGTTATGCTGAATGTATATTAATTTTGTAAAGCGCACTGAGTCGTGCTCTGTGACTCTCAAGGCACATGTAATAAATTGAGTGTTTTTATTCACGTTCCAGGAAAAGTGATAATGAGGCTGTGGGAGGGAAACAAAAGACTTCCTGGTAGTATTCTAGCACTGCTCAGTGATGGAGAGTAGTCCCTTTCATCTTACTGTGATCTTCCCACCTTCTTGAGTGGGAAGCAGCAGCTGTTGTATTATATAGGCATATTTTTATTAAATGCCAATGAAAAAAAATATTTCTTGAAGACAGCCTGCCTGGCCAAAGTATGGGTAGGGAGAAGAGATTGAGATTGAAGAGACCCTACTTGTTGAGGGAAACAGCAGACCAAATTTAGAAAACAGAATAAAATGTTATTTAAGGAGCAGTTCTGACCAGTGTTGGTTTTTTTGTGTCCTCCACATTCATCTGTTTGCAGAGCACACTTCAAGGTCAGCAGAATTTCCTGTGCAAAATAGGCATTATCAAGCTGCTTTGCCAGGGAATCTTTGAAGAGTACCATCCCTAAAACTGGTTCAGCATTTCCAAACTGAACTGGAAGTGGGAGAACAGGGTCGCTGGGTGGAAGGTTGAAAGGACAAACTCCAGGTCCCTCCTGGAAAACAGCGTGGGAAAGCTCCCTTGAGTTGAAGTATTCCTTCTGTGCTAAACTCTGTAACTTGCAATTTTTATTCCAAAGCAGAATGTTGTAACTTCTCCTGGAATGATGATCTGTCTCAGCTACACTTCAGTGTTGCTGAAGTTGTTTTGTTCTTTTGTTCCAAAGAAGCTGGAAATCAGGAACATAGAATTCTGTGGGCTCTGTGTGTATCATCATAGTCATTAGGCTGGAGCATGTTAAGGGCCAGGATGCAGCTGAGAATGTGACAAAGCGGTGATGGTATGTGTGCTTGGACTGCGAGGGCTTGGGCTTCTGATCCTTTTTTGAGGGCAGGAAGGTGAAGGAGAGATGTTCGAGAATGCTGAAGACATGGAAGTGAGATTCTGGCTTCAGGGTGGCCTGACAGGAGGAGGATATAATGGAAGGGGTGGCTTGTAGAGGGAGGAAGGTATTGAGAGGGTGAGAGTGACAGCATGGCATCCTAATTCAGAGAAGGAGAAAGATATGTCTGTCACAGAAATCGCGTAAAGCTCTGGTTTCATCTTGGTACCCAGGCATGTTCAGCATGGTGGTTCCTGAAATGAGATGCTGACTGATTGAGTTCCATTCCTAACTTTGAGCATTATGTGTTTGTAACATTCATTTGAGTCTCAGTTGTATGCATTCTCCATGACAGTTTAAAGTATGTAGCACCTTGCGAACCTCCATCTTAGAATACCCTAAAAAACCGAAATCCTAAAACCGTTTCAATGTTTCTTTTTTATTTCAAAAGCCTGGAAAAAGACCTCATGCAAAAGCTTTGAGGAAAATATATTTCCAAACATACGCTGACATATATGAGGAAACACTGGGCTTGACCAGAATTGATTTTCATCATGCAGGAGATTAAATTCTGGAATTATTCTGAATATCATTTAAAAAAAAAAAAAATCCAGGACTAAAGACATGAGGTCTAGAAGTTCTTTTTTTGGAAAGCACCAGGGAAGTGGTGCTTTTTGGAAGCCACAGGGCAGCCTTCTTGTGTTCAAATAACAATGTGAACTTGTGTGAGCAGTATCAGTCAGTCGTTGCTTGATCTGATAAGTAGAAATATATATGTATGTGTGCGTATTGTTCAGTTTGAGTACATTTAATATTCACATGTTTTTCCTATGAGTAAATAATATCTCTTCTGTATTGAGTCAATATACCATGATTAAAAACATATACGGCAGTAAGTTTATGTAGGTAATACTAAGATCAAAACGAAGGTGAAATGATTTTAATCTTCATGTAATTATTTAACTTTCTTATCATCTGCATTTTCGAAGGCGATCCTGTCACCTTTACGATAATCAGCTAATAAATCCTCATGATTGTTACACCTTTATGCATAGCAGTAATCTGAACAAATTGGCTGCTGACAGCTGCAATAAATTGCCAAGAATGAGTGCTGTCAGAGAACAAGTTGTTTCTGCGAACATACAGGATAAGTAAATCCCATGTCATGCAGTTTTATTCAGCTGAAGTTATTTGCAATCCAGTAGGGCAGGATTTATGGCATTATTTATTGGTATGAAAAATGCGTGTTTATCTTTAAAATGACATTGACTTTTACTCATATTTTGTGCCAGGAAATTACTGTTGACTTCATCTTTATCTATTTTCATCAGTATTTATAGATGCTACTATCTTTTTCCCCATCTGATGCAAATTAAGAACAAAAGACCTTGTGTATAGTATATTCATTAAAGCTATGTATTAATTTTTACCTGTAGAAAACTGCAATGTCCCATAATCTCTGCATAATTGTCATGAAAGTTCAGATCAGTTTTGAGTGTGTGTGTGTATGGGTACACCGCATATAATGAATGTTATGGAATACAAAAGTTAAAATATTGAAAATTAAGTATTTAGGTTTTCAACACCTAATCTGCTATGTCTTGTCTGTTTAGTTTTTTCATAGTAATGAAGCCATAGAGGGTTTTTTGGGTGCACATAAATACAAGCAATATGCGACCTATGCTGCTGCATTATTAATT